CAGGACCGAGCCTCTCCAAAAGTAAAGTCATCCTTCACTCCCGGAGCATGCACAATGCAGATGCTGGATTCCTAAGATGGTGTCCAGATGTCTTAGCCCAGCCAGCAGCCAAGGCTCCCCTGAGTTTGGCAGCTGCTCTCCTCTCCAGCTTTACCTTCTACCACTTCACCACTCACATCAGGCTCCAAGTAGACTGTTGTGTCCTCCCTTTCCTCCACCCCATATCCCCAGCACAGGTCTCTGCAGGTCCTTGTGGTCTATCAGCTCCATCATCATGACTCGCCCACATCTTCCCTTCTACATACTGACCCCCTCCCCAGCTCCGAGGTTTGACCCATATTCAAGGCATTTGTTCTTTGACCAGTCCAGAAACAAGCATCTTCTCCTTCCTCCTCCCATTGCTCATTCTCTTGACTCTTCTTTACCTCTCTTGAGTGTTTCTCAGTCTCTTCCTCTCCTTTTAGCCCATGAGAAGCTTGGGATGGGATTATCTCTTACTTACATATTTGTGTGTGTGTCCCTTCAGACCACTTCTACATTGCCTTACACATCACATATGCTCAATAAACACTGCTCTTATTTTATTTTTATTTATTTTTGGTATATGTGTTTGGTATTTATCATTAGTATTATTATTAATTATTTATATTGAACATATGGTCTTTGGACTGAACCCAGGGCCTTTGCCTCACTACTATTTATTTTGAGGCAGAATTTTACTAAAACAGTGGGTTGCCCAGGCTGGGCTCAAGCTTGCAATCCTACTGGCTCAGCCTTCCAGAGTGCTGGGATTACAGGCAGGCACCACCACCCCACACCTGTGCTCTTACTTTAGTAAGTAAAAATTATCTTAACTTCATTAATCCAATGAACAAAAATAACCTATTGTTCAGTAGCTCACCAGCACTTTGTTTATGTTGTTGAAGTCCATTTGGAGTCTAAGCTTTTCGGAGCATTTGTAGAACCCTGCTTATCTAGAAATGTCTAAGTCATCTTTACAAATTATACCTTCACTCCCCCATGAAAGTCTTCCTTATTCAGTCACTATTAATTTCCTCCTTCTGGTGGTACAGCCACAAGAGCTATGCAATCTCTGATTAGACTCCTATCCTGATCTCCTTTTTCCTAAAACAATCTTGGTACAGCCAAATTCCAAAATCTCAGATGCTGAGTTTCTGCAGCAATGTGATTACAGTGTCTCATTTATCCAGCCGTGATCCATTCTGTGACAAGCAGGTGACTCCCAGGTCTGTTTCTGTCACAGCCCCAAACCCCATCCATCCCCACTGCCACCCTGTCTCCAATATCTAGGCCTTTTGTCTTCATGCCCTGGGAAGCAAGGGATCTGGACACTTCAAACCAGAATCTCTGACCAGAGATGGGAAAAAGACAGATTCTCATTCTAAAGGAAAATCAAGATACATTGGAAATACAGGTCCTTCTCTTTCAAGGAAAAGAGTATGATTGACAAAGGGAGAGAAGGAGGAAGAGAATGAGGATAGAAGTGGGGAGAGTGGAAAGAGGGAGACAGAGAGAGAGGGGGGAGAAAATAAACCAGGAACTAAACTAAAGTCAAAATGAATCAAAGATCTTAATATTAAACAATAACCCTTAACCTGCTGAAAGATAAAATAAGTAAAACTTTTGAAGACATAGGCCTATGCAAAGATTTTCTGAAAAGAGCCCTGGTTGCACAAGAAATAATACCAAACACCAATAAATGGGAATACATCAAATTAAAAAGCTTCTTCTGGGAATTTAGCTCAGAGGTTCCACTGCCTGCCTCACAAGTACAAGGTCCTGAGTTCAATCCCCAGTACAAAAAAAAAAAAATCTTCTTCTGCACAGCAAAGCAAACAACCAACAGAGCAGAGATAATCTACAGATTGGGAAAAACTTTTGCCAGCTACACTTCAGACAAAGGAGTAATATTTAGAAAAATATAAATAACTCAAAAAATATTTTTAAAATACCCTCAAATTTAAAGATCCAATAAAAGGGGGCATCTGAAGTGAAAAGACACTTCTTAGATTATTTATATTCCATTTTACTCCAGAAACAATGGCTATCATCAAGAAATCAACCAAGGGCAAAAGCTGGAGAGTCTGTATAGAAAGAAGATACCATTTCATTGTTCATGGGAGTGTAAACTGGTACAACCACTATGGAAATCAATATAAAGATTCCTCAAAAAGCTAAAACTAGAAATTCCATTTGACCCAGCTATTTCCCTTCTAAATATTTTCCTGAAATATTTAAAGACATCATATCACAGTGATGTATGCATACTCATGTTTATAGCAGTATAGTTTATAATAGCTAAATCTTGGAAATAGCCCGTATCTCCATCAATAGTTGAACAGATAAAGAAAATGTGGTATTTATACACAATGGAGTACTACTCTGTCTTAAAGAAGAATAAGCTTGAGTCACGTGTAGGAAAATTGATGCACCTTGAGACCATAATGTTCGATAAAGTGAATCAGACACACAAGTTTGAATATCGCAGTTTCCCTTATATGAGAAGCCTAATATATAAAGTGCAAAATAAAAGGCAGAAAATAGGAAAAAAGAGAAAATTGTGAATGTAGTCCAGCATGGAGAATGTATTTTAAAGTGTACCTTGCTTTAGTACAATTGCCTCATGTGACTTTCTTTGTGGCGGATTGTTAGTCTGGCTGTTAATTTGTATTTATAATTAACTTGATAAAGACTTACAAATAAATGAATCCGAAAAAATAGAAAACATAAACCAAGAAAGAAGTCAAAACAAGAGAAAGAGGGAGGATAAGGTAGAAGAGTGCAAGAATCACAATTAGAAAGAAATGAGCCAAGTGGGGAGGTGGAAGAAAGAGGGAAACAAAGAAGAGGAAAGAAGCAGCAAAGGAAGACCGGGCCTGCACTCCGAAACACAGGTCATGGTTCCATCAGTGATCTCCACTGCCTCCCCTGGAAGCTGTGCCCCACAAAGGTGAAACGCTCCCTGCTGCCTTATCAGTAATACTCAGTGCCATCAAACCTATGTGGGAATAACCCATCTTCTAAACAAACAACTGACCAGAATTCAGGGAGTTTAACCTCCGAGCTGCATGCCCTAAAGATGCAAGTTCTTTGAAAAGCAAGAAAATATTGTGTTTCAGATTACCTGCCGATAGCTCTCCCTTTCCTGCCCACACTTTCCAGTTTGGGTGCTTAACTGTTAATAGGTCATCCTACTAATAAGAAAACAAGAAACAGAACTGTTAAACTTCTAAACAGACTAAAATAGTCTCCTCATTCTCCCCAAAAAGAAGGAGCCTGGACCGATAACCAGAAGGACTCTTGCCTGGGCTCTCTATGCACTTCAGGTAGTTTCAGGCATCCTACAGTGAGCCTGGGGTAGGAAGGGCACCACATGGGGTTTCACAGGACAGGGTTATGTGCAGCACATGCTGGGGACACTAAAATAACCACTCTGGAAATAGTTATTTAAGATAAGAAGGCAGAGGAAGAAAAGACCACAGTCACGGTTTCTGAAAAGTAAAGCAAAATGACTTGTAGACAAAGCCTGAGAAACTTAATGTAATAGAGAAACCCTGCAATAACTATTGATTAGTGGCTAAGCCCCTCTTTGAGTTATTTATTCTAAAATGTATGTCGTGAAGGCTCTTGTTAAGACCTCCTAGTTCTCCAGTACCAAGAGTCTATCGAAGGATGGAAGGATGGAAAGAAGGAAGGGAGGGAGAGAGGAGAAGGGAGGAGAGGGGAAAGGAGCGGAGAGGAGAAGAGTAAAGGAGGGATGAAAAAAAGAAATAAAAGGGAGAAGGGAGGAAGGAAAGAAGAAAAGATGAAAAAGAAAATTTGAAGGCAAGCTGTGCTCTCCTTTAAAGCTATGAATTAAACTGAATTTTCACCACAAGGAGGTTAAGGAGTAATGGTGATTTCCCTAGACAATAAACAGAAAGCAGTATCTAATCCAAGGAGCATTGTGATACTGAGAAAAGAATCCTCCTAGAGAATGTGAAAAAATACTACTTTACCCCTCACCCATATCTCATAATCACCCATCTCTCACAGCCCTTCAATGTCCATATCCCTTGGTTATTCACTCACTCGGTGAGTACTCCAGAAGCTGTGAGAGAGACGGTCAGGTCTAAGCTGTCAGTGAGTTCTCACTAAGCATCTCTTTCACAGCCTGACCCTGTGCTGAGTGCTAGAGATGCAGTCCTGAAAAAAATAAAGTTTCTGATTTCAATTTGCTCCACGCTAGGATGGTCTCAGATGCATGAAATTGCTATAGTACTACATTCACCGATGACACTAGAGCCTTCCAAAGCATAAATCAAGTTCTGTTTGGACTAAAATTCACCTGTGGTAGACCACCTTGATATGTGGAAATGCTTCCTGATTTCCTAATAAAAGCCAGGTAACATAGCATTCTTCTCATTTTGCCCACATCAATTTAGAATCATACTAATCTGTGGGGCTCAGTGTTCTTGTGCATGTACTCCTCCAAATTTTATTACAGACTCTTATCCTATTATCCCAGCTTGGGTAGTTTTATTCTGTAACTCACTTCAAATTATTGTATAACTTCAAATAAGTTGTGTAACATATATAACAATTTTGATGAGACTGTCATATTAGAAAACACGCACTCATCCAGGAACTCCAGAGATTCCAATGGGTCTGGTAGAGATGGAGAAGTCCCAGCATGAGGCCAAGATACCCTGGGCCACTCAGAGCTGTGGAAGACGTCTTTAGCCAGGACACCCAAGCCTGGCTTCTAATTCCAGGATAGTCACAACCAAATCACCAAAAGTAGAGTTAACTGGCATCAAGTTTTCCATATAATCAAACACACTGTCTCCTCATTTGATGATGGCTCTAGGCACCAAGCCCACCCCCAAAAACCCCCCTGACACCTTGCCAGGATGAATGAAAGCTTCAAAGGGAGCCACACCTCTCCTGCCACAACCTTCAGCCCACGTGGTGACCGTTCAGCAACTGGCTCTACTTACATCAATAGGTGCAGAACATTCTCTGTGCAGCAGGATCTTCAAAACACAGCCAGCCTCTGCTTCTCTTCAATTTTTTCAGCGTCTTTAAAATAATTCAAACCACGGCTTTGAAATGTTCTAGAGCATTGAAGCCCAGGCCACCTGAAGGTCACCCTTTATAGAAAAGGAATAGAGAGAAAGCAAAACTTTATTATACATTATCATAAAATTTTGCTTCGCTCACTCCTCCCTGGCATTCCTGTCCACAACTACACAACAGAACTTCCAAGAACACCAAGCCCTGAGGGACTGGACACATTCCAGAGAACCTCAGAGGAATTTTGTTTATATCTCTTGATAGTTATTGACTTACAAATTAAAGTTGAGATTTTTTTTTCTTTTTGCAGAGGCTCCACACAACTGTATCTTCAGCTTTTTATGAACAGAAATGAATTGTAGGACTGACCTTGTGTCCTGCACTACACTGGCTTTTCAGAGGACCCTGATTATCTAGTCTCTTAGAAAGTCTGTCAGTGAAGGAGACCAGGGCAAGTATAGATGGCTGAGAAATTTCTTCCCAACCAGAAGGGTATTTCCTAGTGTTTGTCATCTGTCTCATTCATGAGGCACAAGTCTGCTTTCCTCCTTTCCACCACCCCAAGCCTGGAAAATGGTCACCAAAGCTGCCTGAGTTTTTGTTTCAGCTTTCCAGTATGCCTCTAAAATGACATTGCCTGGTGTGGTTTGTATTTGCAGGTCCACAGAACCTAGAGAAAAATCTACTCAGGGGAAATCTAATCTCTCTGTCTCTCTCTCTCTCTCTCTCTCTCTGTCTCTCTCTCTCTCTCCCTCCCCCCCTTTCCTCCCCCCCCCCACTCCTTTCTTTCAGCAGGGCCTTGTGAAATTACTAAATTGCCTGGGCTGGGCTTGAACTTGAAATCTTCTGAGTGCTAGGATTACAGGTGTGAACCCCAACCATCATGTCCAGATTACTAACCCAATATTGTCCTTAACATCAAAATTTAAAAATCTTCAGAAAATCATTTCTAAATTAGCCACAAAAGTAGGATGGCAGAATATCAAATCTAAGACTTGAGTAGTTTTGGATTATTGCGGAGTATTTAGTTTATTTAAGGTTAATTAGTACTTTTATCTGTAGATTAATGGTTAAGGTTGTTATATTACTCCTATTTATAGGTTGTTTTGATTAATAGCTTAATAATTTAATAACAATTTATCCAAGAAAATTTCTGAACTCCCAGTACATAATATGCCCTATAGATAACACAAAGATAAAGAAAATATGTTCTTCGGTCTCCAGGAAGATATAGTGAATACTGTAATGTAAATAACTGTATTCAGTCATCCCTCAGTGCCTATGGTGGATTGGTTTTAGGACCCCTGAGGGTACCCTATCTGTGGATGCTCCCTCCCTTATATAAAATGCTGTACTGTTTGCATGTAATCTACAAATATCCTCCTATGTAGTTTAAATCATCTGTAGAACTTATAATGTCTAATAAAATATAATTCCTGTATCTAATAAAACATAAATCTAGTGGCTACACTGTACTATTTAGGGAATAACATCGAGAAAAAAATTACGTGCTCAAAACTGATGCAACTGCTGTAGGCCTGGCCAGATAGAACACGGATGAACTGCTTTGTACAAGGGATGCTTGAAGAGCAACTGAGGACATGTGAAATGGCAGGAGGCCACATAGGCCAGTGCACTTCACTTGACCGGATTCAGCATAATGCTCAGTGCATGGGAAGTTCAAGTTCCACTTCTGAGATTTTTTTAGAAATTTTAAATATTTTCTGTCTGAGGTTGGCTGGGTCTATGTATGTGTTTCTCAAAAACAGTATGGAGGGAAAACTGTATATATCTGGGTTAGTGGATAAAGAAGCAAGTGCCACCAGAAGGAAAAGTGAAGCCAGCTGAGTGTTCCATGAGGACTTGTTGGACAAGTGATGAATCATTTGAGCTGACTCTTGAAATATATGTAGAACTCAGGTAGAAGGGGAAAATGAAAGTCCAAGAAAAGAGAACAATTCTAATAGGCAAGTTATTAGATAAGAAAATCAATAAATAGTTGGCTAGAGAACAGGAACATGGATGTAACTGAGAACAAAGTTGGAAGACATTGAGACACAGGGCTGTGAATGCTGGCAAGGAGTGACATGGATGAACCAGGAAACACTCAGGAAAAGAGGAATGGTAGGCTACAGAAAGCTCTGTGACACTGAACTTGTGTGTTAAGAGACAGAGGACCAATTGAAGCCTCAGTTAAAATAATGACATCAGAAAGGCAAACAATCATATGGAGGTTTAATAATAATGTGGAGGGATTTGAGAATAGCAATAGGCGGGGAAGAAAAAAGGAGCTAAAAAATCCTGTGTTGCTAGCCAGCATGTGATCAGAAGTATGTCCTAATTTTTCAAAACTGGAAAACCAAAGAAGAAATTCATTCATGAAGGAAGATTGTGAGTTTGGGTTTGAAAGTAAGGAATTTGATTTCCTTAGAGTAGAAAAACATAGACATCACCAACCAAGAGGTAGAAATTTGAATCTGGCACTCAATGAGTTTGGTGTTGGACATAGATATTTGATTTTCCACTACATGGAGGCAATCATGAAAGTCTGACACAGGTAGGATGATCTTGGAAAAAGAAACTGAACACAGAATCTTGGGGTTCGCTGGCACTGGGTGGTGGGAGAAGAACAACTCTTTTCTATACCACCTTCCATGTAAGACCTAGAACAATCTAGAAATAGTTCTTCCTCACAAAGCATCAGTAATCCCTGATCTAACCCAACTTCCTTATTTCAAAGATGAAGAAAACCCAAAGTCTGAAGATTAACTGATTTATCCAAGGCCTTACTTCTAAGTAGCAAAACTGACACTAGATAGGCTAAATGATCATTGGGAATTAGTGTCACCCTTGCACAAACTACAGGCTTCTTCATTTATCTCGGCTTCATTAATCCAGAACTATATCTGTGCCCAGCCATATGAGCAGCTCAGGAGATCAAACCACATCTTATTCACCCTCCTGTCACTATCCATTACCCACTTTCTCCTTGCTGCTACCAACTGTTATTACAGAGTAGAAAAATCAGATTATTTTCCTCTTTTGAATATCCATATGATCTCAGACTTTAGTGGGTGAAAGAGATTTAAGAACACATCCATTATTAGTATAACATCTGTAGAAACTGCGGCCAAGCAGGGGTCAATGACTTGCCCCATATCACCAGTCAGCAGTAGATTCCAGACCCAAATCCCAAGCTATTATTTCTTTTAATTACACTGCCAACCTCTAACTCAATATTTTTAAAAAAGATTCTTCAGTCCCTAATTTCTCCAAACATTTCTCTTCCCTCAAGGTGTTTCCTCTAAAAAGTATCACATGGCCCACTACGCATATAGAGGCTGCAAGCTACCTCTTTCTTGGTCTACATTTTTATTATCCTATGAAACACCCTGGGAGGTCTTGCAGTAAAGAAGCTGGCTCAATTCTCTAATGACATTTTCCAAATTGACTTGACCACAGAACTCTGGCCCATACCCAACCCTTGTTGTTATCTATTATAAACCCACAAGTTTCCAAGAGTTGTACATTGGGAAACATCACCTCAGTCTCATTAGGAAGATTTCCTTTGGAGGCCCCATCAGAAGTGTCCCTATTGAGTGGTCTTCACTGTGAGGACCAGGAAGGGAGCCATGAGAGACAAATAAGGAATTATAGTCCCCATCTTTGCAGAGCCATGTGTTCTGACAACAAGGGTGAGACAACTTCATGAAGCCTTTTGACTTGGGATCCCTGTAATCTCAAGGCACTCATCTTCAACCTAGGCTTCTTGTGGAAAACGTTGTTTTAGGTTGTCAATGTATTGCACAGAAGCTAATATGTAAGTTCTGCTCTGCTTCTGTCCAACACTGGTGGTGATATCATCTTGTCAGTGTCCTTCTATATCTGCTCTAGCTTTTCCTTGTATACTTCACCACTCTGGTCCAAAATTAGCAGCTTTTTAATGAGTCCCACTGACTTGATTCCTTCTCCCCTGCAGTTCATCTTACATGCTGTTGTAACCTCTCGTGGTTGCATAAAACACATTTATGCAATGTAATGCAATCCACACTCTTCAGGGCATTTCCCACCAATACAGACTCATCTTCTACCATGAGCTGTCCCAGGTACAGTGGACTGACTGCCACGCCTCTGCACTATTGCTCTGTTTCCTGCCTGTTCAATTCCTTCCAGTTCTTACTGTCCTGCCTCCACCCCTGGGCCCCTGATTACACAAACACTTCCACAAGCTCCTACTCTTGCCAACATTGAGCAATTAGCTCCAGGTTTACATGGATTGCTTTTTTTATTGTCGTCTGAATGTTCTAATTCCTAATAAGTTCAAGAAGGGAAAATATTACGCTTTATCAGATTCAAGGCATTTAATAAACAATCTGTATTAGTCACTTTCCTGTCACTGGGACAAAATACTCAATGCCCTCAACTTAAAAGAGACATTTATTGTGACTCATGGCTTCAGAGGGGTTAGTCCATGACAAGATTTCCCCAAGGCAGAAACAGCATGGTAGAAGGGACTGCCAGAGGAAAACTGCTTAACACATGGAGGCCAGGCAGCAGAGAAGGAAGAAACTAGGAATAAGAATATACCCTTCCAGCATGTCTACCTCTTCCAACCAGACCTCACCTCCTACCAAAACATTCAGCTGAGACTTTAGGAATGGGTTAATCCACTGGTGGATAGAGTAGCCCCATGATCTGATCACCTTCCAAAAGCCCCACTTCTGAACACATTAGATTTTAAGAAGACATTTTAGATGCAAACCATTATACATTCAAAAATAAATTCTTGCTGAATAAAATAAGTGATCTATATTAACCTCAGAACTATAAGTTAAGCAGAAAACATAAAATTTAAGTCAAAAACTAGGGAAACTAACCTGTTCCTGGGCTTCAAAATGTTTAAATGTTTCTACTTTATTTAACCTTAGTTTCAGGAAAGGGGGAGATTTATTTTTTCTCATCCTGCAGGACCAGAGGATTTTCTTTCTTCTTCTTATAAACAGAGCTGTGTTTTCTTCTACCTTCCCATAGGCTCCTTGCTACACTTGGCCTCCAGAAAGGAAAGTCTAGACTGGGA